GAGGGGAAGACAGGAGGAAGAGAAGAAACAGTAAAGAGAGGACGAGCTGAGCTGAAAAGGACCGGAGTGGTGCCTACTGGCCAGAGTGTGACCGAGTGGCCTGGCTCTGGCTGCCACCATGCGGGGTCACTGTCGAATCCTCGACTATTTAATGGCTTCTCTGTCTTGGTCGAATGTTTATGGCAATATATTTACTGCCACGGCTTGCGAGATCGTTTTATAATTTAAAGCGTTAATCGAGCGTATTGACTGTTCATAAATACAAGTATTTTTAGAAATTCCATTACAAACTACGTACATATGGATGTATATACTCCCTCCATCTATATATATGGGGCCTAATGTGTTTTTCAAAATTGGCTTTGACTATTCATAAGATTAAGAGTATATGAGTTGTATAATGTGAAAATTAAATCATTGGAAGCTCCTTTCACGTATGATTTTGACGACATGCTTTGTGTAACTTGCATGTCATATACTTCCTTCTTTTCTAAATATAAGTCTTTGTAGAGATATTTCACTATGAACCACACACGGATGTATATAGACGCATTTTAAGTGTAGATTCATTTATTTTGTTCCGTATGTAGTCCATCTAGTGAAATCATTACAAAGACTTATATTTAGGAACGGAGGGAGTATTATTATTCTAACATGTGGTTAAAGTTAACCTCAAAAACTGCATTAGGCCCTATATAGATAGATAGAGGGACAGACCCAGTGCATAGAAGCTCCCACACAAGGTGGGGTCTGGGGAGGGATTATAGGAGCCTAGTCTTACCCCTGCAAAGTGCAATGCAGAGAGGCTGGTTCGAACCCAGGACCTCTTGGCACAAGTGGGGAGGACTTCACCACTGCGCCAGGCCTGCCCTCTTATATAGATAGATAGAGGAAGTAGACATATTTTAGAGTGTAGATTCATTCATTTTGCTCCGTATATAGTCCATAGTGGAATCTCTAAAAAGACTTATATTTAGAAACGAAGGGAGTACTAATTTTGCTTGAGTTAGGATCCCCACATTTACTTACTTGTAATGCAAGCTTAGAACAACTCTAGCAGATTCATCGTATCATCGATCATCATTCACCACTTCAATTGGATATAGAGCCGATGACGTCCAAACTCCGAGTTATCAGACTCGTTGCATCAACGATCATCATCCACCACTTCATATGGATATAGAGCTGGCGACGCAAACTCAGTCATTATCTTGGCTTTCAAATCCTTTATTTTTATTTAGTTTTTTTCACCATCGTCCATTTTGTATGGGCAATTTAAGCTTAAATTAGATGTATCAGGTAAATAACTTTATAACAATTACAATTTTTGCAAAAATCAGCTGCTTTATACATATAATTAATGATTTTAAAATGTCCATTTAGTGACATTGCTATCTAGTATTGCCACTACCTACACTAGTGGTGGTCGACGACTAGAGTCGACGCCTCTAGTCATCCTCCTCCGACGACGACAACCACAAGATATCCATAAGTATGTGTAGGCACGGGACTCACGAGCGGCCACTACAAGTTGCTGCCGCTCCTCCTTGACGCCCCTTCGACCATCAACGACTCAACTACTATACACGCCAAGCAAACACGCTCCTCCTTCCATGACTTGATGTCCACTTGCTGCTGGTACCTTTGGTGGGAGAGGAGAAAGCTTGTGCACAATGAGTCGGTGCAAGATGCGAAGAGAGTTGCGCAAGCGGTGTGTGCTTTAGCAACTAACTATGCTATTGCATGTGATCCAAAGGCCTCGTTAAAGAGGGGAGGTTGGTGCAAACCTCCTAGTGGATATGTCAAGTTAAATGTTGATGCGGCCTTTGATTGGGATTTGCTTCAAGGGGCGATGGGAGCAATCATCCGAGATGATAGAGGACATATGGTTGTAGCTGGAAACAAGCTCATTGATTCATGTTATGATGTACTAACTGCGGAGGCAATGGCTCTGAAGTTTCGGTTGAATATGGCGCTCATAGCTAGGTGCAATAGACTGATTGTCAACTCGGATAATCTTGAACTCATGGAAATAATGAATAAGGATGACCAATATGCTGGAGATGACGCAGCCATTGTTGATGATTGTTATCATCTGGCTTGTGAATTTAGCTCTATTGTCTTCGAATTTTGCCCCAGAGAGTCGAATGTGGTTGCACATGAACTAGCTAGGATTGCTAGAAATTCGCTTTGTAATGAGTGGTTAAATAATGCTCCTTCTGAGCTTCTTCCCCTACTACTTAAAGATGTAAGCCTGATCACAAATGAATAAAGAGGAAGTAAAGTTGTCAAGAAAAAAGAACTCAAATTTATCATATTCTCTTGAAAGTGTGGTTATTTTTTCATCTTCTTCTTGTTGGTTGAACTCATACAATATCGAAGAAGGCCAACAACTTTCCCGTTTGTGCAGAAACAATGTTTTATGTCAAAGAAACATAGTTAGGAGTTCATGAAGAAATAAGTTTTCTGCTGAAGGAACTATGTTTAGATTCTGGAAAAACAGTGTTTGATCAGGACCAGCTACCCACACATTACCTGAGAATTCCAGAACCTACCTCATTAATTCCCAAAGTTGGTTTTCTTTCACATCTAAGTTGGTTCCCGGAGCTAGTTTGCTTTCACGCTTAAAGAGGGGGTGTCCCTAATATAAATAGCCTAGCTCTTCTACCGATAGAGCGGCGATGATGCGCGTAGACACCGGCCGAGGAGGCGAGCAACTGCTGGGCGAGGTGCGCCTACCGGGCGGGAAGGAGAGCACTGCCATCGATGGGGAGGCAAGTGCGGCCATGTACAGGGGAGGCAAGCCCGACTGTCGGTTGACGATGGTGCCGAGGCACGCGACCCTTGTATGGGGAGGTTGCCGAGCTCCTACCACCGGGTAAGGGAGCACATAGCATGTAGCAGTCGAAGAAGACGCGTGACCATCAGGATAGGGGGGCGTTGAGGCGCGCGGTCGCCAGAAGACGGCGGCGTCGTGGCGTGGGAAGCGGATCCTCTAACATGAAGAAGGGAAGTCACCTAAACTACAGTGCAAACTAGTGTAAACCAGAGAAGGAAAGTCACGGATACCGTAGCGAACACTGTACTTGTTTACTGTAGCAGATACCGTACACAGTTACTGTTGGTATAAATAAATTTAAAATTAATTATATTTCACCATAATTTGTTTGTATGTAATTTTTGTAAATGTATAAAATAGATTTGTAATTTGCAAAATAATTCAAGTCAGTTTAGCCTTACTCATATGGATGTGATGGAGAAAAGTTAGAGAATTGTAGCTTACGTGACTTTTGTCCTTCGTGTCAGAGGATCCACTTCCCGTGGCGTGCTGTCACCGAGCTCGGACCCCTTCCTGCCTTCCGCTGCTTCCACCCTTTGATTCCTCTACTAGAACCGGTTGGCCTGCAACAAAGCAACTGTTGCGGTGGAAAGGATCACACCCGCTGTCCATTTGCAAACTTACACTAGGGAAGAGGGTTGCTCTTGAGCCATCCGATTTAAAAATAGATCGGATGGCCACAAAGTTTCACGTCCCCCCTGCTTTACATTTCTTGATATTATAACAGAGTTCATCCCGATTGAACTTTCCTCCATGACTTTATTTACTTGCCCCAACATGTGTTACGAACACTATACACGTGGCACACCCGACTACTTCATTGGTACTTACACATCCTCTACAGAAGAAAGAAGTATCATCACTTCACGCTGTGAGTCAGGACTCAGGAGCCGTGGCATCAACCATTGATCATTATGTACAGTGCAAGCCCTGGTCGCCATAGCTCGGTGGTAAGTGTACAAAGCACCCGCCGGCCGCCTGCGTGCATGAGCATGGCGCACGGCGCGCTCAGCCGGCCGGCCGGCGGCCATACCGCACGCTTCATCCGCTCCTCCTCCTCCTCTCGAGCATCTCGCTGAACTCCTCGTCGGTGGCCTTGAGCATGTCCGGCAGCGGCAGGTCGACGCCGGCGTCGGCGGCTGCGCGGTGCCGCGGCGCGATCCGCTTCTCGAGGCTGAAGGTGAAGTACTGCGGGAAGGCCTTGACGTCCTCCACGCCGCCGCCCATCTCCTCCACCAGGTACTCGAACTTGGGCTTGTAGTTCCTCTCCACGTTGAAGGTGAAGAGGGCCGGGCAGCGGAGCGCCATGGCCACGGCGTCGTCCCGCGACATGCCCAGCCCGGCCAGGTACTCCAGCTTGGGCGCCATGGTGCGCTCCACGCTGGAGACGAGGAGGATGGGGTCCTGGAACGCCAGCGCGCGGTTGTCCCGGAAGCCGAGGCGGCGGAGGTAGATGAGCGCCGGCCGGAGCTGGTCGCGGACGCTGCAGGCCAGCACGCGCGGGCACTTGACGACCACGCGGCGGTAGGCGGCCTCCGGCACGCCGAGGTCGTCGGTGAGGAAGGCGAAGACGGGGCGGAGGTCGGCGCGGACGCTGGCGGTGAGCACGGACGGGCACATGCCGAAGACGCGGCCCAGGTCCTTGAAGTGGAGCCCGCGCGACTGCAGGAAGGTGACCACCGCGTGGATGGACTCCGGCGCCGCGTCCCGGAGCGCCGGGTTCAGCGACAGCGCGCGCCCGTAGTCCACCCCCATCAGCTCCAGGCTCAGGATCTTGTCCCGCATCGCCGACGGCAGCTCCGGCAGGTGCAGAGACAGCGCCTCCGCCGGCGTCATGGACGCTGTGTTCTCGGCCGTCGTCGGCAGGACGGTCGCCGCCGCGGCCGCAGCCACGGCCGGCGGCGACTTCTTTGGCTGCACGGTGGTGATCGCCGCGGCGGCGGTGGAGGGGAGCTTGGCGGAGGAGGGCAGGGAGTGGGGCTTGGCCACCGGGAGGGACGTGGAGGCGTAGAAGCTGCAGAGCGGCATTGTCGCTCACGGCCGGAGCTTGTCTCCCAGAGCTTCTTGATTTGGAGGCTTGGAGATTGAAGGGGGGAAGTGGAATCTCATCCACTTCTCTATCTCATCGTTGGTGATGACCTGGCGCGCTGGGTGCTGCTCATTGGGTGGTCAGATTTTGAACCAGAAAGAGACCGCTCGGTACTACTCAGCAGAGGCGCAAACAAGAGACAACAAGCGATAGACACATCTTTTCTGTCGTTAATAAAAGTGAAAAAGGCTCAAAGATATTTTTTCATCACTGAAAGTGAAGTATGTCCTCTGTGGATTCGAGCTAAATTATTTAGGCCAATGCTAGGCGCCGGTCCGCCGGCGCTAGCTTTCGGCCGGTCACGTGCTAGCCCCACGATTCAATTACATGCAGCCGTCTGATCTTTCTCCCCCACATCTTCTTCCTCGCACGTTTCTTTTCTTGTTGTTCTCTGCTCGCACTGCCCTCGGCTGATTTGCAGGTCGCTCTTCCCCCTCACCATAGGCCCATAGCCCCAGGACCCAACGATGTAGCGCTGGTCGCGGCGGCGTGCAGCGGCAAGTCGCGGTCGTCGTGGCGCGCGGTCTGGTCTCTGGTGCTGTCGCAGCCCTGCCCGCGTCCCGTTGCAGCACGGGGTGCGACGACAGGCGCCTCGCCACAGCCTCCCCCGACGAGGCTGCTCGTGGCAGCGAGGCCGTGTGTCGCCTCCAGCACCTGTGGATGCCGGCCACATCACCCCGTTTCCCCGTCGCCTCCATCATTAGCAGGGACGTCACAGGAAAAATCCTTCAATGGTCGAAGCAAAAATCATAGCCAGTCGCCACAAAAGAAACCACTCCTCATCGCGAATCCAGCAAAAACAGTCGCCGGTCCCAGCACAAATCATCGCCGGTTCCAAAAAAAAAATCGCCGGTTGTAACATTCTCTGTCGGCGGGTTCCAGCAAAATTATCGCTTTGGTGTGGCCCAAATCGCAGCAAAATCAGTCGCCGCTTCCAGCAAAATCAAACGCTAGTTCCAGCAAAAAGCACCACCCATTGAGGATCCCCAACAAAATCGATAGCCGGTTCCAGCAAAAATCGCCGGCGGTGCGAGCAAGAAAAAACAACGGTTGTAGCACCGGTGCCGCCTGGGTGTAAAACACCATTAACGATTCCAGCATCTCGGACTGGCGGTCGTAGCACCTCCGCACGAAGGTTCAAGCACCTCCGCCCCACGGTTGCAGCAACCCTCGTCGCCGGACTTAGTCATGACAGCAACCACCGCCGCTGCAACTTTGCACGCCACCGGTTCACAGCCCGCACTACACAGGTTGCAGGCTTCCAGCCCAGCGCAGGCCGGTTGCAGCTCCCACTTGAGGCTTGCGTCCTTGCCGGCAATGGCGACGCGATCTCCGGTTGCACAATCATGCCATCTCGCCACCATCGCTGCATCATCCATGGCCGGTGGTTGTAGGGCGTGTTTGGTTGCCTGGGTGGCTTTCGGCTGCATTGCACGGGGGAACCTGGGTGACCACGGCCTGGCTGAGCTGATGCAAAGTTGAGCTAAGATGGGTGTTTGGTTCCCTGTGTATACCATGGCTGTACGAGGTGGATTTTTTCTGAATGTTGCTGAAAAATATGCGGAAGGAGGAGCATGCACCAGCGCGAAGCAACGGGATTCACGGCTCGGTGGTTCCACATAGTTGGATCCTTCCTTGCGGCGGCCGGATCTGGCGTGCGGAGCGCCGCTTACTGGAGACGAAGGAAGATGGCCGCAGACAATGGCAGCAGCGGCGGCCGCGCTTGGTCGAGGAAACCCACCAGCTAACACGGTGTTCTTCCCTGCGGCGGCACGAGGAGGCAAGATTCGGCGGCGGCGGCTGCGCTTGGTGGAGGCGAACGAAGATGGCGGACCTTGACAAGGGCGGCGACGGCGCTTGGTAGAGGACGGCGGCGGCGCTTGATGAGCAGAACGGAGGTGGTGGTGCTTGAGAAAGACGAATGAGGCGGGGCTTGGTCGGTGGGGTCTTGGCGGCGGCGCACGAGAGGCAGAAGGGAGAGGAAGGAGAAAGAGGAACCAGCCTGCACGAGAGATACGCAGGAATCCTGCGTTTCCCTCAGCCTGGCTGAGGGGCCTGCTTTTGCATCCATCGGGCCAGGCTAAAGGGCCCATACAGCTTACCAAACACCCAGATTTTGCATGGTGGATGCGAGCCCCATGCAATACAGGGAACCAAACACCCCCGTAGCAGCCGTGGCCAGCGGTTGTAGCACCCTCGCGACCCGCTTGTAGCTTGTCGGACAGCAGCGTGGGTTGCGGTGCCACCGGCCGGCCTCGCCGCTCCCTTCAGCTAGAAACACGCGCCAAGGGGTGATTAATCCATGGCGTAATGATGTGCAGAGGTATGATGTACGGAGGTAGAAGACGCATGAGTGTGTGGCTAAGAAGATAAGGCCGGTCGGGAAGATAAGGCTTGGGAACGTGTCCTGCCTACAGGTTAGGTGGACCCAAGAAAAGCTTACGTGGGGCTGAGGGACGAGCCTCTGATCTCCACCGATCGAACGTCCCGTGCGCGACCGGCCCAACACTCGGCCGGTCCGCCGGGTACAAACATTTTATTCTCAAGGTTCAGGGTGACTCACACTAAGTAAGTATATATATGTTCCTTCGAACTAGGTGTCAGGACTTTCCCAAGAATATAAAGTATCTTACAAGTTTAAACTGGGGGTGAACAACAATCAATTCACTTGCAAAATTCTGCAAATGTTCCTTTTGGAACAAGGGATGACGAGTTGAATCGACTCTTCGGATATAAAAAATCACTGGAACAACAATATATCGAATTGCCAGAGACACCATAGGCGACAACACTCTACAGACTAGCTCAAATGGATTATTAACTGGTTTCTTCCTCCGATACCAGACCTAATTTTGGAAGGGTACAGCAGGCAGCAGCACTGCGCGTAAACAAGCACCCGGATGCGCCAATCTGGACCTTGGCCGAATGCTATGCATGTTTGAGAAGCAGGTGGACAAAACGAGCTGGCTGGGTGTGAAGAAGCTTCGCTCAACATTTCCCATGGCTTTTGTTCACTGAAGTCCTTCTCGCCAGCTTGCGGTTAGAAGCTGCTTGATCATCCTGCGCAACACGGAAACCAGAGTTCTGTGAGGATAGCTTGGTGCACAAGAGAACAACATACTATGTGAGCAGTTCAACTCTGAAAGGCGCATTGGTGGGGTCGTCCAGATGTCACAGCTAATGCAGATCACTTGCTCCAGGTTTTGAAATATGGACAACAGCTACCAACTTTCAGTGTTTTATATGGTGAATTCCGAGGAGGTGCAAAGAAGAAGAAATGGAGAAGATGAGCATGACAAAAATTACCATGTTCAGCGAGGCCGCAGATTCAGACCGCATTGTTTGATTTTGAGATTGACCAAGAGACTGGAATGTATCAAGTGCATCAACAGTCAGCTGCCAGCCAGAAAGTTCTGGACTGCCTGAGCTGGAACTAGTATCATAACAGCAAGCTGCTGCAACAATCCCATTGACCCATGGACAGCAACTGTTGTGATGCTTAACAGGATCAAAATCTGGAAGACCTGGTTCATAGTCGTTTTCTCCATTTGTTGCTCCTGAGAAACAAATAACAGAGTATCGATATGAGCAAAACACAGATAACTGAGCAGAACAACAATAGATTAAAAACATATGTGTAAGAAATAATAATAAATAACATGTGTTTTAGGCATAGGATAACTGAGCAGTTTGCATAGGATGACATTTAATTTGTTGGAATAGCAGGTGCTAAAACCGATCTGAGATCGATGCCACCTGCCCTGAAAGTCTAGCTGGCTGCTCCTTGGTCACAAACAGATCACTTTGAATACTTCAACTTCAAAGGAAGCATGGCTAGCAAGTACCTCTACCAGTCAAATAACCGTATAGTTTAATAGGAAAACATAGCATGAAGCCACAAAAAATAACGCAATTCCCCCCAAAAAATGTATAGAAATTATCATTTAGGTTATATGAACCAAGAAAAAGGGTTGATGATAATTACCTAACCCATTCTGCAGATCATAATGCAACCCTTGATCATCAGTAGTCAGTACTTTGCCAGCCTGTGTCACTTCCTCTTTAGATGCATCAAAACCGGCATATACCCCAGCATTGCAAGAGAGCGAAGGATGCATGCTGCTTTCATGGCCAATGGCATGTCCTATCTTTTTTCCACTCTCACCAGAATCGGCTTTATTAGAACCAAAATATTTTGATCCACTGTCAGCACGGCCTGTTGAACGGAACACAATATCTTGGCTGTCTCCATGAGGTTCTTCCCGATCAACTTCTTCAGGTACAAACTCATCCATCAATCCAGGCCCTGGAACTGATTCACCGGTATGGCCCATTGTCTCAGTAAGGTCAGTAATAGGTTCTGCATCGCCTACACCACTCTCAGTTCTTTGCACAGATACATCAATGCCATGAATTTCAGCCTCGTCACTAGCACCCATGCCAACACTTCCACCACTAATTCCTAAGCTAAGTTGATCCCTTGCAAAAGCAGGAGTTGTGCCTGCATTAAGGACTTCCTCTCCTTCATTAGTACTGCTTCCTCCTATCTCCCTTCCATCACTTCCAGCAGCAGGCTGTGCACAAGCACTTTGCTGTGCTTGGTTGCTATCGTTGAGATCAAAGGCGTCGTTCATTTCAATATTCCTGTGCCCACTAGATGAAGGCATATTAATATCTATACCAGCATCTGGATGGTACTCAACACTCTCCATCGAATCTTCATCAGCACTGCGAACATCCATTGCGATAACAGAAGACGCCCTCATAGAATCTCTAGCAGATGGATGCTCAACAGGAGCTAGACCAACAGCTCTAGAGTGACCGAACATACTAATATCCACATCCAAGTCAAAGCACAAATTTCTACTAGGACCAGCTCCAGAAGAAGATGGAAGATTGGCATCAAAAAAGTTGAACCCGCGGGATTTTTTATTCTTGGTGTCAGAATCTTGCACGTCATCGTCAACTTCTTCACCATCACGATCAATGACAGTTCCTTCTATGCTGTCAGCATGTCGAACCATGTCTTGTGGCTTGTCAGCTGTGCTCCCACCTTCCTCAAGGTTACGCTTCCGCGAGCTTGGACCCCGAGACTCATATGATGTTGCACGATCACCAACTTCACTTCCAGCGGGCTGTGCAATCATCAGATCTCTTCCCATTCCTCCATTACAACACTCAGACGCAACAGCCATTGAAGAATGAAGTGGCGGTAGTCCTCCAGCCATGGATAGATTAAGGTCTACTCCAGCATTTGATACTAATTTCCCCTCATAAGTTGCTGCTTCATCACGTCCTTCAGCTTGATCTCTTACCACCCCATCATTAACCCATCCATTGATCCCACTGGCTGCGCTAATTCCACGCGTCAGTGTTAGCTTTTTGCCTGTTTCTGGTGCATCAGTGTTATTTGGACTAAAACGAGTAGGACGTGACACAGATCTGAAGTCCCAGATCCTAACTGTAGCTCCACACAGGCTGCAATCTAATAAAGGTGAGCTCATGCTGCATCCTGAATCTTTGAGGGGCCTTTTGCCTTTTCCTTTATCTTTCTTGGCTGATGCAGAGAATGAACTTTTCTGATGTTCAACAAGGGGGGAGTAGAACATTTCATCTGGTTCATTTGAAAGTGCATTTTTAGCTGAGTGGGTTGAATTTTCTTCACAGTCCTGAACATTTGGAAGCCACCTAGGCTCCCATCCACAAAGGCTTATAAGCTTCTGCGCCTGGAAAGTAAACCAGAATAAATGTTTAAATTAAAGGAAGATGCAAGATCAAAAGGCATCCAATAATAATACTACAGTGGTGCCACAAATCACACACATATACGAGAAACAGAAAAACGTACTCTTGAGAAGCCACAAGATGAACCTTGATGGATGTCAACTCCTGGTGTATTCTCAGCTTTGTAACCCAGCTCCCCAGATAAGAAGCTAATCGATTGGGTTAACAGGCGGTTAATCTGAGCAGCCCTTGTCAACCTCATGTTCTCAATTGCAGACAGAGCAATCACAGGAAGAGAGAGAAACTGTAGAAGTCCATCACATCGATCTTTAAAACCTCCAATAAGCGCTGACTGTGTAAGGTGGAGCTGAACCAAGTTATCAGCACAGCTATTGCCCCTCCAGGGACAGCTATTCTTGTGTGATGCATCAAGCTGCGCCGCAAAGGCTTCTCCAGCATTTGTAACTAATACAGAACACAAAAAGAAAGGTTTCACAGCTGAATAAAATTCAGTTTGCAAAGGGGGGCGTACAACCATTTTTTTCCAGCCTAACACAACAGCAAGACATGAATAACATCAGTGAGACCTATGAAAAATTATGGCACCGGACATATCTGTTACCGTTGATACTATGTAATGTTGTCACTTACTTTATCAAAACAATGGCAGGTGTTAATCAGTAAATCAAACTGTTGAATATTAATAATTGTGAAGCAAGAGTATGGCCTATAGATATATTTTCTATCAGCAAGGAGCACAATATACGATGGCTCATGTAAAATCTGAAACTATTATTTATACCAAATCAAATCTATTTAGTTAGACTGAAAGGTGAAAATACAGACATCTCAAATGCACAAATCAGATAGGTGGCAAGCATAAGTGCATTGCTAGCCATTACATAGTTGAATGCATAATTTCTTGGTTAATGAATATGAGCTAAATTTAAGTTCATGTCGGATAGATATACATCAAAAGGATAATACTTTCAGAGTAAAGACATTTAAAACATGGTGGTGAATGTATTGGTTTTTAGCACTAGGAGGCAGTGTAGCATGAAGAAACCTGTGGACCAGGACAATAGCAATACGCCAATACCAGCTACTTCTCAAACAAATGTAGTTTCAATAATATCACATACCTTCAGTTGGGGACCAGGATGCCAGTGCACTGAATATAAGATGCGCACCACATGATTCACATTCAATTTTGTCCATATCAACATTTACCCAGCCTCTTTGAGCACAAACCAATGAACTGGCAGCCTGCAAAAGTTAATTTCAGCATATATTATGATGGCAGGAGTAGAACTTTCTTAAATAGTCCCACGATGTTATTCTAATTTGAACCAAATAGAAACAACCAACATGCCAATTCCATTGTTTATAAGGCGGTAAGGCGACCTAAGGCGAGCACCACCCGCTCTAGCGCCTAGGAGGACGCCTAAGCACCTAAGGCAAGCATATTTGTAAGGTGCTGCCAGGGCGCCTTATCACCTAAGCGTCTAAGGCAGGACGCCTTAAAAACAATGCAGCTAACAAAGGAAGGAACTGTGGCCTTGATCAAATTCAGTATTAACTAAACTAGTGATAAACATCATAAGTGATATCATAGGAAAACTCTGACTGTGCTTATGGATTTAGGTCACCATGAGTCCATGATTATATTTTATTGCGAACTAAAATATAAAAAGCAAAGTTTAACACACCATGGCATTCAGCACTTGTATCTTGATACTTTCAACAACGTTAAATTCCTATAAACAAGAAAGAAGAGATGACCTTCGGCTTAGCTTCCCAAGTTGAAGGTTTGAATGTTGCCAGTCGACGAAGTAAGTCTCCACGCTCCCATGGTCTACAAGATGGTGCAGAATCCAAAGCAGTTCCAACAGCATCAAAGCTATGAGCAGGTCCGTAGGCATGTGGTGCAACATGTGATGAGGAATCAACCCTGGAAGCTTGTCTGCTACCCAACCAATCTATGCTTACTATATTAATTTGCATAGCAGGCGATGAGGCACCAGCAGAACTGAAAAAGCAAAAGAGGGTTCAGTGCAAGCGATTGAAAATTAGGAGTTTGTGACAAGACTCCCAACAAAGTATTGTGGCCACCTGGCGAAACACTAAATTGCAGAAGGATGATACTGAAATCAGTTTTACCTCCAAAACAATTTATGGAAAACAAAAACACTTATAAAGCTTTAAGAATTCTAACAAGCAGAAATAGCAGCGCTGCAGACCCAGGTCTGAGAAACTGACGTCCCTCGAAAAGGACTAAGCAATATGGCACCACAAGTTCCAAGAATACCATAAGGTTTTGCATCATCCAGTACCAATGGCACAGTCCATCATTTTATCCATTTTACAGAGGCGACGACCATTAGACAGCACAGATCCTAGGGTTCACAGCTAGGGACAGAACAGCTAATGCATAAGGCGCTGTGACTGGTTTGTGATTAACATGGTCTCTTGCTCAGGACTCTGCTGAAACCCCTGTTCAAGATGGTGAGGTACCCTCTTTTCCTTGCTAACAGCCTATGCGTCAAACTCGACTACTCTTTTCCTTGCTCCTTTCTAAACTTGTTGGATGCTATTTCCTCATCATAACTCGGTTGAGTGTTGAAAGGAAAAAAAGGGGAAGTGCTACAAAGATACAGAGCAAAAAACCCTATATTTTTCACAACAGTAGGTATGAATTGTGCCACCAAATATCTTCAGCTTGCACCTAAAACTGATATGCTCCATCCATAGGAGAGTGACAGCGCCATGGCTGTAGATCATAGCCCTCCTCCTCCTCCCCAATGGTTTAATCGAACATTCTGCGATCCTACCCTAGGTCTCCGTAGGAATCGTACC